AAGACAACTTTTCGGCCAGGTTCCTAATGCTAGCATCCTATAAGCTTTCAAGAAAGATAGGCGAATTATTAAGGAAATGGAGTGTTAAGACAATATATAAACAAGCAATAACGGCTTCCTCGATCATGTCCTCTTCCGACGCTCTCTGCAGATCGGGTTGTTATAAAGTTTTGTTCCCATGTGGTAATATCTAAGATGTATTCACCCTATTTTAGTTTAAGGCGATGAATGATTTGGGGCAGAATTTTCCTTCAATATTATGAGTAGAGCTGACATTTCCATCCACTTACATACGAAAAATAAGTAACGTAATCGATTGTTATAGCAAAAATGCGTTTGCTTCATCGACAATCCCACCAAAGAGTGTGATATGAGAAAAGGCCAGGGCTTTCTTGAATTTGACATCTTCCCACTGACCCAAGAAACCCGTGGTAATCTGGCTGAGTGGTTAGCGCGTCAAGCTCACATGCTGCACTGTCAAGGTTCGACTCCCGTTCGGGGAACAACTTTTGGGAAAGCAAGGCTATGTGAAATTCAATGGAAACTTCAGCTCTACTCATATCATTTTAGGAAAATTATGCTACCAGTCCTTCATCACCTTAAACGAAATAGGGTGAATATATCCCATGTGGTAGTGTTAATGTAGGGGAGACTTGTCGATCCATACATACGAGGCTATCAGAACAAAAAACCGCCTACAAAGGTTTATAAATTCAGAAATCGGGAATGGCTGAACATGTGGTCGCTACAGGACACCAACGTCATGTCGGATACGTGGACTTCATGGTTAAATGGAAGATCAGGAAGTCAATTGAAATTAATAAAACAAAAATCATCCTGAATAAGAGGAACGAATTTAGGTAACTAAGTAAGAAGTATCTCTGGCTGCTAAATAGAATGAGAGAGAGAGAGAGATAGAGAAGAAAGGGGACAGAGAGAGCCACTGAGCCACTAGACTAAGCTAACGTTGTCAACCAACTCATGCCTATTGTACCCACACGCGAACACCTTCACAAAGCTGTTACAAGACCCACGACAACTGGATCATGCTCTAGTTTATTTACATTGACATAAGTTGTCATCACGTCCGCTCCCCTGCCTGCATCACTTCGACCCGCTTAGAAAGTGTGGTACAGTAAGTTTGTTTGATCTCAGCTGGCCATTTTCTCGGTTTAGTATGTTTTTTGGTGATTTTTTCGTGAATGATAGTTTCTGTCCATCATATGATGGACGAAAGCTCAGTACAGAGTCATCGGGGCCGTAGACGGTAAGCCGAGGTTTTATTCACGCAATTCAACAGACAAAAGTCCAAGACAATCCTTCTGCGGTATCCGTTGAGGCCAATCTACGAATACCTTAGACCTTCCTTCTCAAACGAAATTAAAGTTGGGCCACTATCAACCAGAGTCATGTTGAATTTCCTATAATAAAATGAGTAGAAGGCGTCATGATGCCTATTTTAAGGTCAACTATCAATCATTTTAAGCGACCAACGGTGAGTCGACATCGACCCACCGCGAGAAGCCTTCGAAACTGGTACATCGCCACTTCACTCAGGCGGCGGATGACTGCAAAACAAACAGTTCCTGGCATTTGGTCAAACCGAGGCCTGAAACCGTGGACCGGCTGAATGATAATAAAGTTTGAGTAGTTCTCCTTCACAGGCAAATGAGCCGAGTCTCGAGCCATCTGCTTTCACGACAGTGATTAATGCAGGTCTCAAGACGCGTTAGAGGCTAGTGAATAAATGCTCAAAAGCTGAAACATCCACCTGCCCTCAAGCCACATTTAACGAGGTTTGACATGCCTGCCTAAGGAGTAATAGGAACAAGTCAAGGCGAATTCAACTCCATCCGTCTGGGTCTCCGAAACAACCGGACAAACACATCGCGCCAGAATGATGCAATCAGTTGTCGACTCGGCCGAAGCTGGGATTCACCTCTAGTCTCTCGATTACATATGAAGCCAGATAGCACTGGAGATAGGCACAGGCATGCATACTCCTTTTCGAGGGAGCGTGCCAACGTACCCATGAGAAGGTGGGCAGATGCGCAGGTATGTTTATGTTTGTGTGTGTGTGTGTGTGTGTGTGTGTGTGTGGGGAACAGTCTCCTACGGCCAGCCTGAGGCGTGACTTCTGCGTTATATCCATAAAAGTCAATTAGTTTTGGCGTGAAACCAGTGAAAGAGGGAGAAAGAAGTCAATCTCACGACGCCCGGAAGGCAGACACGCACGTGCGAGAGGAGGGCGCGGACAAAGCCTGATGTCCGGTCAGGCCGGGCCTGGAGTCGAGACCCGCCCCGAGCCAACCGGACCCGCTTGTCCAGACCCGGGTTGGGGCATGGGCGTGTGAGTCAGTCGTGGAGGGTAGGCGACAGATGCGAGGTCTTCTGACTCAAGACAGACGGTCTGAAAAGATGTCAATTATGCGTGCGAGGGCTCTACTCGAGGCTGGAGAGGCAGTCGTGTGCACCGTTCGCCTGCCCAGTAGTGGATGGGGCAAATGTGACAAAAACAGTTTGCCATCGCATTCGTCGGCCGGCATTGAAAGAGCCTGAGGCAGATGCAAGAGGATCTCAAAGAGGAAAGCGGAAAAGCGCGGCTTTCTGAGTGTTCAATAATGCAGACTTCCAGGTTGTGGTTACCAGAATGCGGATATGCAATGCGCATCTGTTACAAGGTCTCATAGGGGTTTCAGCTCGTGCGACCCCGATAAAAAGGTCAGCATTTTGTACGAAAGCGACATGGGAAACAAGGGCCAAGTGTATACACGAACGGAGAGCAAACAGAGAGGCAGCAAGAATGGGCTGCTTAGACAGAAGTTTCCTCTAATTCGCCTATTGACAGTCTCGCCTGTCTTCACACAGTTGCAGGGTTCTTATGAAACACTCAGAAATCACAACTTATGAAGGAAAACGAGCACAAGTGTGCAGAATTAGGAAGCCTAATGCCCTTATTCAGGTGCCTAATTTGGAGGGATGCATGCATCTTTGGAACATCGTTGAATGTAGCCTTGGCTTTAAATTAGCATTGGTTGGAAATAAACGAAGCAACAGATTAATATGCGGTTTGGATATGGCCAAACAAATCACTCCAAATCATACAACTGCTTTTTGGAATGTAAAAATAGGAGATTATTTTGACTTCAGACTGGGTTGGCCTAGAAAGTTTGAAAGAAAAGCAGTGAAATGCGTCCGGTTAATGAAAATATGGCCGCCATAAGAGGAGAAGTGAATAATGTTTTCATACCACTCAAAGTTCACAAATTCAATTAAACTGAATAGCTTGACATTTGCTAGGATACTTATTTAGCCACATTTTGGCAGTTCAAAGTGAAAAAGAAGATATCCGAGCTTGATAGATAATCGGAATGTTTCGTACACATGAAGAAAAGCTGGTATTTGATTTATTCCTTAATAGGTAAATGTGACATCATTTTTTATTTTGAAGAAAAAGTTGGTCAAAAGGGGTTTGTCCGTTGTCTTCATTGGAAAGTGAAGGAGAATTTCCATTGAGTGGAGACTATTGGCTTGTGTGAACTCATTCTTGACTCACCGTTCTGCAAACTCGATGAATCTGTGCTAAGCTTCATTTGCCCATAGTCACAAATAAGTTGTACGGCTGCAAGTATAGCCCATATGCCCAATTTTTCCAGCTAACTGGGGCGCCACATTGTGAAAGCTTGCCTTATTGGTTCTGCACTGTCCTACACAATCAGTTGCTATATCATCTGGAAGCGACCGCAACGGCAGTTGCTTTTTCACTGTTATGAATCCTGGACGTGCGCCTCAATATAGATGGGTCCTGAGAAAGAATGTCGAATAGCTTCGGGTAGTTTGTCAACATGGAATGCTCTTTATCTATTTCTGGGCTCATGAGTTTGTATATAAAAATTTCGGAAATTTAGGTTTTTGGAACAATATGACAAGGCGCATTCCTGACAATATGGCCAAGTTGCGAAAAGACGGTAAAACAACAACTATAGAACTAAAGGGGACCGCGACTGTACAAAAGGTCACAACATCTTGGTCTTCATACCTTGGAATATCAAATGAATTTTGCACCAATATTGATGTTAAAAAATTGATCAGCTTATTAGTGAAGAGTGAATTGTGGTAAAATTCTAGTAGCCACTTTGCAATGTTTCCCAGGGAGCCTGCATGCGTATTGGAAGATGATGATGGAGAAGGCGAGATTGCTCTAATATTTCATGGGTGTGGAGGTCTTACTTGTTTCCAATATGTAGCAGAATGTCTCCCGAAGCATAGGTTTGGCACCTTTATGCTGTTTGCCTCCTCTGACTCCTGGTGTATACTAACATTGGAAGGAGATAAATAAATAAGTAAATCTTGCTGCATGAAGCGCAATAGGTGAGCTTGAAAATCAAACAAACAGTCATTTTGGTGGCATCTGTACATCCACATAAGTCTACATAATCAGCAATTTCCCTTTTTGCAAAAACGAAAAATGAAGGGATTTTCATATGAGTTTGCTTATAACGTCTTGGCAACACGCTAGACTCGTCATTAAGAAATCGGCATTAGACACTTGGCAAGTTCAGAAGTAATCCATGCATGACAATATTTTGAATTAACTAAATAAATAGTGAGGTTGATGATGATTGATGTTTGTTCTGAAATGGCACCCCCTAGTGCTGGTGGTGACTGCGAACGGCGTAAGCATCAGACAATACCTCTCATCGAACTTGTACTCATAGTCGAAATCGTTTTTTCACCAAAAAAGGGTGTAAGATATTAGTTTTAATGGATTACCTAGAATAGCAGAGTCTACGCAAATTCCAGCTATATATAGGATTACAAAAACGGCAGTGCATATCCATAATGAAACCTGGCAAGATGACCCCGGCTTAGTTTTACCTCATATCTCAGACACGGAATTCTGCTTGAGGCGGCTCATAATGTTTAGACGCTAACTGCCTGATAGAAGTGCAAGATAATCACTTCCGGGCTTTCACGTTCCAAACAATCATACGCAATCTAACAAAAATCATACAAATATTTCACTCTGTTTCTATTTTGAGACAACCATTAGGTCCAACGTAAGAGCTCAATTCACGCTATTTCATTTGAAGTGATGAAGACTGCAGTTGACTTTTCCCACAATCACATGTTTCTATTCAATTTTACATGGCCAAAAGGTATTATCATCCAGAGGGAAGTGCCGGTTCGACCTCGTTCGGGTCACCACTTCACCCATAGGCGGGACTCGAGCTTTGTTAATACAGAGTATAGTCACAACAAGTCAGCCACCACAACACACTGAGTAAGTGCCTTTAATTTACAGACAAGGGAATTTGATGGATGCCTAAAATGTTTCCATACCATATTTCTGCGATACACTGCTCTACCAGGATTAGAGCACGGCTGGGGTGCTGAGACCTGGGCGGGTAAAAATTGCAATCGGCCCTGGACAAGAATACATTTTTAACGAATCAAGGCAGTGTGGACTCCAATGGAAACATTAGGCCTACTCATGTCATTGGAGAAATAAATAAATAAATAAATAAATAAATAAATAAATATATATATATATATGTTTATTTCTTTAGATTGAGCTTAGTAGAGGACTCAGGACTAGGTATGTTCCATAAGGTGTCTTTGCCATTTTGGAACCATACCGACAGTATGCAGCTAAATGAGATTGCGACCAAAGTTAAGATCCAACCAACTTGG